GATCTTAACTAATTAAATATAAACATGTGCTTTCAAAATTATCCAATAAGATTAAATGATAATTTTGACTAATAATTTAATGTGAAATTCCATTATATAACAATAGTGAATAATGTTGATATGTCTGAAAATTCTGCTATCTCTGTAATCTCTGTGATCTATATAGATCGCATGACTAAATTTAAGAAATTAAGGGTAATTCTGGATCATAACAGTATCATTATTTAATTCTTTAATAAATTCTTTGAGCTAGATAATTTATTATTACCTTTATCAATAAAAGTTAGAAAGAAATATTGAATAATACAAATATTTAATATATAATATTTAAAGAAGTTTTGATCATTACATTTCAGAACAACAAGTATATTCTCCATTACTGATTTGTGATTCAGACAATTAAATCTCTGTTAGTAATTGAAAATATTAATCAAAACTTAATGCTAGATTATAAAGAAAAAAAAGAAATTAGAAATAGTATCAAATACTATTTATTCAAAGAATATCAACTATTTTTTATTAATTTGTAGTTTTGATTATAATTTATAACTTTACTTAAAACTTTTTTAAATATTTACTTGAATTAAAATTCAAATTGAACATGAGTTAAACTTTGGATTTGAATTTTTTGAATTAAATTTATATATTTTATAATAATTTTTAATATATTAATTCATTTTCTTTAAAATTTTATTTTTTAAAAAATTAATATATTTATATTTATAATAATAATTTAGCTAATTTTTATTTAATAAAAATATTGCAAAAAATAATTAATATTAAAATTTTCTGGATTAATTTAAAAGTTTATTTTATTCTAAATTATATTTGTAAATCAAGTACATATAATTTTTATATTATATACAATCAAACCTTTTTATAATCATTACCCTTAGAAAAATAAAATTTGGTAATTATAATTATAGAAAGATTTTTTTTACTATATTTATATGTAAATGAAAAAGCAAAATAGGATGATTATAAAAGGGTGTGACTATAAATAGACATGAATATAGAGAGATTTAACTATATATAATTTTAATAACAAAATTTATTTTTGAAAATTCCAAGACTAAAACATCTGATTTTATAGTTAAATTTCTTTAAATTATCCTATTATAGTTATATCACATAAAAATTAAAGCTTCTTGTAAATCAACTTGCAAATCAAAATTTCTATTTTTTATATTTCATGTTGTTTTATTTATTAATAAATTTCATATAAAAAAAGCTTGTAAACCAAAATATCTATTTGTTATTTCTATATTTGGTCCATGAGCCAGCTTGCAAGAAACTTTAATTATAATTATAATAAAGATATCTTATTATAAATATATTTATTATAAAATTTTAGTATAATCAATTATGTTTATAAAAAAATTATTATTGGATTCAATAATGTAATTATAAAGATAATTAACTATATTAAGTTTTATAATTTATAACCAGAATCAAAAAACTATTATTTTTTGTTATTTGTTCAATATTAGTAATGCAAAGAAACAAATAAAATGAAACATGTTTTAAAGACTTAGTTTACTCAATATTTTTACATAAACATGATATTTATGATATAAGAAAAAAATATAGAATTTTTTCTCTTAGCTAATTGTAATATTGATTTATTCATGAACAAAATTGGAGTGAAGTCAGTGGAAAAGAAACAAATTACTCTAATAAATTTGTCCCTTTTTTTATTGACTTTACCCCAAATGAAGAATTTTTTGCTGGATTTCGAAATAACATAAAGTTCAATGAACATCTTGAGCTTAAATTTAAATCTTCAATTATAATAATTATAATGGAAATCGCCATAATTTATATAGTTACAAGTACAATTAGCTTGCACAGTTGTATGAAATACGTAGAAATGGTTGGAAAGAAAGTATTAGACATACACATTTCTAATAATTAACAAAGAATTTAAGAATATCATATCCAAGTATTATATTTGGCAAATGACTGGATAATTTAACATTGGCTATCGCTATACTGACTGATTAGTTTTTCAGATTGGAATGAAAAATCAACTCTAGTTCAAATCAGTAGATTATTATTTTAAAATTCTACAAATACAGTTTCATATGATTACATATGATTCCACAACCGCTTTGGGAATCAGCCATATGATGATACAAAAATTTTTGTAATATTGCGCCACTGTGAACACCTATTTCGCAAATTTTCCCACATTTGGGCTTTAATATATTTATTCATGAGTAATATCGATAAATTTGCTCAGAACGTGCCGGCACCATAGAAATAGTTGTCTATGGACACTTTCACAAGGAAGCAACACAGAAACAAATGGTCGATGGTATAGGTACTATCGGGGAAACCATAAAGCCTTTCATAATGTTACTAGCCGCAGTAGCGACGAAATTATGAAGTGGCACAGTATAACAAAAAAATATGTATTGCATTGATGGATCGTGTAGATGGCCATTAAAACATTACAGCGCCGGAAAAAAAGAGAATGAGAAAAATTTTGAAATCAAAGAGGATGTATCGCAGCTTCAAAGGTATCGTAAATTTACACAGGCTAATTCGGTAAAGAAAAGCTTAATAGTCTTATTGCGGAATTTGATCAGGCTGCATGGGATTTAAGTTTGGCTATGTTTCTAAAGAGCAACGATGTATTATTGATCGAGAAACGCTAAAAGATTTGGCAGGAGTGAAAGTTGTAATAATCTTTATATCATAATGTAATTCTTAACGAATACCGAGGTCTTACGATCAGCACAAGCACCATCATCTGAAATTACGTTTCCACTATTACCGCCACCAATTAGAGACACATGTTCCATACGAGAGAGAATACGGAAAGGATTAGATATTACAGTAAAACTCATTAAGCTTTACAAGTCACATAGGATTGATACTGAACTCGCGTTATTAGAAAGATTATGAGAAAGACAAGATATCGTGGTCTTTCGAGAATAGGCAATCAAGATATGATGGTTTTTGAATTGGCAGAATATGGAAATTTTCGAAGTCTTTATATGAAAAATGATATTAATTGGCCGTTGAAAATATAAATTGCGATTGATAGTCTTTTCTTGCATGTGGTGGATATTTTGCATCATAATATTAGTTAGGTGGAAATATTTTTAATAGATTTTTTATCCTAACTGAATCACAAATTTTCATCTTAGTCGCCCTAAAGGGAGAGATATTGAGATTATTTATTGACTAGCACTAGAGATGTTTTATAGTAAACTGTTTAAAACCATACATAACACTGTTAGGTTAGAATCTTCTCTATCTTGAATATCCTATATGAAAAATGACTTAAAGAGAAATAGTAAGTTTTGCTTTGACCATCGGGGATTCAGATTGAATATGCGAAATTGATTAGAGAAGGTTATATATTAAACATCTTTATATCCTTAATGATATTCTTAATGATTTTATTCAACTTAGGCAGGGGATATCCTCCAAGAAATATCCTCGAATTAAATAAAATAGGCGAGACTTTTCTTTCAAGCAAAAGCCCTGGATTGCCTTTACGCAGAGATTTAGGTAATTAGGATATTTCCCATTTGGAACCTCCTTTTTCATGGCACAACTCCACGCCCAGTATCGAGATCAATTCAAACGATCGAATCGACGAAATAGAAGTTCCAATCAAACCATCAATGCCATTTGATGACGGAATAAAAGCATATAAAGCACGCGATTTCCAAAACTGCTTGGTAATGTTTTGCTTGGGGGGACAGCTTCGATACGCCCTTTGTATAATGAATAGTAAAGGCGTGAGGTATAATCGAGATAATATTTACGATCTGCAGTTGATGATGGGAATCCATCGGCACAAAATAATTTGCGAGATGTGTTGTTGAACGGAGCTTGATGGTTAGAAAGATGAAAAAGGATAGCCGAAAGTTCTTAAATTATTGGATGCGTGTGATTCAAGTTATATTGATTATATTTTGTTCCATTTATTATTCGATATTTAAATGTACAGTCATCCCTCTATATAAGAACACGCTATATAAGAACACCTCTCTATAGAAACACAATTTTGAGAACCGAATAATTTAATATTGATAATAAAAATGACCTCTTTATAAGAACAAACTCTCTATAAGGACCAATTTTTATTGCCCAACCATGTTCTTATAAAGAGGGATGACTGTATTCTCGTTATTTTTTGTTGAGAATAAACTTAATAAATAAATAGCATTCATTAACAATATTTTTCGGTCCTAAAAAAAAATTAATGAATTATTCATTCATTTGCTCGTGAGAACTTTCCTAATAATGGTTGTTTCTTAATAATGGTAATTTGGTATTTACTTGATAATAGATCAAGAGCAAAAATACTCCCCCCAGGTTATTAATTATTAAATTGGCCTTCTATAAAACATTCTTCACAGAAGTTTCAATTGTTACCGCTACAATTGATAGAAGATGATACACGACGCACGATACACACCCCACATTTATTACGCGACTGATGATCAAGGGTCTGGCAATTCAAAAGAGGAAACAAACAACGTGCCTGAAAACGTTTTTTGACTTAATACACGTGGTGAGACGTATACACACAGACAAGAGGGATAACAAAAAATTACAAAAAAAGAAATACGCGTCTCTTGCAAGAAAAAGAAGATACAAAGAAAAAAAAAGGAAAAACGAGAACTAGAAATGAGAATGTCGAATCAAAGACAACCACAACAACCGCTTCCACAATGGGATAACACGACGTCTGTCGCTGCTGCTATTTCTTCACAGCCTCCACCGATATACGAATACATGTATCATAGTGGGGCACAACGTTATTTGTCGAGGCCAACGCCACCACAACCGCCAGCTCCACCTTCTTTAAACGGAATGGGATTCGATGACTTATCGCCGTATGATTTTCCGTGTGCTAGTGCTAGTGTTTCCTTGCTGGCACCTCGACAAATAAAAGAAGAAAAATTATCGAGAAGTCCATTGATGCCATTACTTGGCCAGGATACATCAATGTCATTAGATACACCACCTAATCTACGCATGTGTCCTCAACAAATTCATTATCAGAATCAACATTCTCAGCAACAAGAACAATTACAAAATGAACAACAACATTATCAGGAACAACAACGAGCTCTACAAGAACAACAGCAGCAACAGTTACAAGAACAGCAGCAGGAACATCAGGACGAACAACAAATGCAAGATTCTGAACCACAACAACAACAATTCCAAGAACAAGAACAAAATTCCTCAGAGCAACACCAACAATTATCGGAACAAAATATGCAACACCAAGATGATCATCAATCACATTCAAAACTTCATAATCATCATCATTTTCAACAACAAAATATTTCAAATACCACAACATCAACGACGACAACAATATCCTTACCAGGTTTAGTTATTGAATCGGATGGATTACCGATGGAAACACCGAAAAAATCTGCTGCCCGTCGAGTATGGAGTCATACAGAGACGAAATATTTTTTGAATACAATGCATCGTTATTACCATAATATACAATCTGCATGTACAAACAATCAAAAAGGCGAACTATGGGATCGAGTTGTCGAAGAACATAATCGACATTACCCAGAGAGAAGTAAACGATCATGTCAGGTATTTTATTATTATTAATTCTGATTTCAATTGACATACAAATAAATAATGAAATGATATTTTTATTTCTCAAATTTCATGTGATTTGTCACGTGAACAATTATAAAAATTTTAGCAACAATGGGAACGATTATTTTGTCGATACAAGGCAACAAAACGACACAACAATCAGCCAGGAGTGACTCCAGTGTTATTTGAATATAATGAAGAAATAAAAGCTATAGTGGGCGAGATTAATAGCTTTACAGACACATACGAAGAGAAAGCAGGAATTTACTTGGGTGATCGTGGTTCCTCTTCCTCGTCCTCTTCTTCCTCCTCAACTATCACTAATTATGATCAATCCACAACAACACCTTCATCTATGATACCACCAGATCGATTCTCGCTAGAACGATTTACATTAAATAGAACTTCCTCATCGTCATCTGCTGTTGCAAATATTGTTTCCATGCCACCAATTGGATTTGAATCCTCATTTTTGTCATTCGATTCATCTGCATCACCTATCATTGAATCTTCGTTACATGGGATAAACAACAACAATCACCATCATAATAATCATCACCCGCAAAATAATACCAGTAATGGAAGTATAACACTAAAACGTGCAGCAGCAGAAGCTCTAATGATTATAGATGAAGGAACAACATCCACATCTTCAATAGGGATCAATAATAGTGGAAGCGGGAGTGGTGGGATAATAAATCAGCAACAACGTAAGAATAAGAAACCAAAAACTAATATAGAAAAATTATTCGAACTTCTTGAAAGACAACATCAAGAAGATCAAGAACGAAAACGTGAAGAACGACAAAGGTGGGAAGAATATCAACGCAAAAATGAAGAATTTAAGCAACAACTTGTCGATGCATTTAATGGATTAGTAGAAGTATTAAGAGAAATTCATTCTGATATCAAAAAAGAATCATCTTTATCATTATCCGTTTCTTCGCCGCCTTCTAATAATAATAATAATAATAATAATTCTTCATCTTCTTCTACCTCTACGACCACTAATATTTAATCTTTCGTTATTATTGTGTACAATAATATATATATATATATGTTCATTGTATATATTTTTATTAGCATAACTTTTTTATCCATCTATAATTTCATAATTCACCCAATTACGCAATTATTCAATTCATCTATTAACCCAAATGGAAAATTTTATACTATTTGTGTATTTGGGGTATAATCAATAGCATATTCACAGAAACATTTACACACACATTCACCTTCTTTTTGGACAATTTTTAAATGTAGTAGTAACACACATAAGGCATCACAAACAACTCAACTTATAGTTTTTTTCACTTCTTTTTCTCTTTCTCTCTTTCTTGTAATAATCAAAACAATCAATTATAAAATCAATAAATAAAATCTTTTCATTTGATATGTCTCTTGGATTACGTTGATTATAATCGATTGCATTAAGAGCTTTTTTAATTCCTGATATCATGCTTTATTTTATACTCATAATATCAAAAAAAGGAACGTCATCTTATTATCCCGAGGAGTTATTAAAGAAATGATCGATAAAAAAAAATCCGTATGTGAAATATGTGATCCAGCATGACCGAGTCGATATATAAGAAAAATCAGCTACCTAGCTGGCTATGCGCCGGCGCATCCAAATGGATTCATAAACGTTATCAGGGAGTGTCCCCAAATTTTGAGGGTGCCTCGATTAAAATTCATCTCTTGTTATTGCCGTTACGTTTATTTTTTCCCGCTCAAACAGCAGGTCCGTTTCTTTTGTATAAATGCATAATACGAAATTGGTATTCGCAAAGTAAAATTCGTTAAGTCGTGAAGAAAACAACAGTGTGCGAAGTACATTACAATATGGTTGTCGAGCATGTCGCAAAGTAACATTTTTTTCTTATTATGAGGGAATTTTAATTGTACGATGATCAAGTATCAAGTTTGAAATGAAAAGGTGAATGGTTGTATAGAATGTATAGAAGATATAGACGCGCACGTTTATTTGATCTCTGAATTTTTAATTGTAGGAACTTATCGCTGTACCTTCACAAATTTTATTCTACATAGAACACAACCTGTTGTGGGAAAAAACTAACGTGATATATATCCATATGTGGCCTAAGCGCCGTAATTAATATAAACATCTATTAAACATGCAAAAATTAATTACACCTATCGTTATATACAGTCAAAGTCCTTTACAACGGCGCTGTATACATCGGATTCGGCTTATATCGATTTTTAACTATTTAAAAAAATCCCTATACAGTCAACTCTCTCTAAATGCACACCGCCGGGAGACATATGAAAAGTGCATTTATAGAGAGCATTTTACTTGGCAATATTATTAACTTGGGACCGAACCAAGATAGAATGGAAACATAGTGTGTGCATTTAGAGAGAGTTGACTGTATACCGAAGTTTATAATATAGCTCAAAAGTGCCAATCCCATGCGGCCGTTGTGAATGTAATACTTTTATAGTCAATTGTAAATCATACATATCAATACATGTACTTTCTTTGTGAAATTAAACGTTAATGCACAAAACATGTATTTTGATAGTACAATGTTTTTTTTCGAGTAGTAATAATAATGAATATAGAAAAACATTAATATATTTATTACTACTGTACACTCCAACTTCCTATTACCTACCGACACCTCAACTTCCTCCTGTCGACAGCTCAACTTCCTCCTATCGACACACACCATCACCATCACCCACCAAACCCATCTCTCTCACCCTACATCCCCTTTTACAGTGTCGTAACTGAGCTGAAGAAAGTGCGCTTCCCTCTTTTCCTTCCTTTAAAATTCACCTTCAATCAACAAATCTCGTTTTTTTCCTTTCCCTTTTTTTTGTTTTAATACCACCGCATTTTATCTTCACATACTTCTTTTAAAGTCATCCCTGCTCGAGTTTTTACTATTTCTTTAGACCATCAGATTCCGTGTATATTGTAAAAATAAAAAATTCTCATATCGTAGAATTTGTACAATAATAAGAATAAAAAAGTGTATTTGAGCTAAATGCAAGTTTTTTGATATACCGCTCGAGATCTAAATATCGAATTACTTATTATTTTTTCTTTTGAAAACTACAACGCGTGAGGTAAGCAGGATGAAAGACAATATTAATGTTACCAACAAAAAGAAAGTCGATTAATTCAATTCTATTCTTCTATAACAGTAACAGCAAAATGGTTGATAAAGATTCTAGTGAATGGCTTAAAGCACAACAGCGAGGTGCACGAACGTCTCGCTGGATTGTTATTTTTGTTTGTATTTTAGTGGTAGCTGGTATTATTGCTGGTGTTTCATACATATTCCTTCATAAATCTGGATCAAATAATTCAAACAATGTCAATTCTGCTGATATTGGCGGTGATGGCAATGGTAGTTCTACCAACAAAGGAAATGCTTCGGTAAATACACCAGTCAAGACAGACCAAAAATTCTATACATGGGACAACAAATTAGTCGATCTTAACATTATCCCAGATCCCAAACTCAAAAAATCTTTTTACGGTATAAACTATGGACCCGTGAATGCCACGTACCCATGGTGCACGAATACTTTGGGTGATGTGATTGAAGATGTGAAGTTGTTGTCGCAGTTGACTAATCGACTAAGACTTTATGGAATGGATTGTGATATGTCAAATTATACAATTATGGCGATTAAGATTTTGGGTTTAAAAATGACTGTTGTTCCTACCATTTGGATTGACAATAATATGACCACTTATCAACGACAATACAACGATTTATTTAATAATCTAAAACAGCATGGATTTGATTACATCGAAGGTATCTCGGTAGGAAATGAAGGTATGTTTGATATTAGCATTTTTTTACGTGAATTTAGATAGATGTATTTTTAATTTTAATTCACCAAATTTTGTTATATATAGTTATATTCCGTAAAGAAATCACAACGTCAGATTTATACTCTCGCATCGCTGACGTCCGTAAAAAAGTTCTCGCAATGCCCGGTGCACCACAAAACATGCCAGTCTTCACATCAGATCTCGGTTCAAACGTTGACCAAGCATTCGTAACTGCGAACGACATAATGTTTGCAAACGTTCATCCATACTTCGGCGGTGTGCCTGTCGCCCAAGCTGCCGCTTGGACATTCAAATTCTTTGAAGATTTTGATGTCACCCCGGCAGCCAAACAAAAAAAACTTGCGGTCATGTCTGAAGTCGGATGGCCTACCGCAGGAGAGTCGCATCAACAATCAATCGCGTCAAATCCGAATTTGAATACATTTTTACAGAATTTCTTGTGTCCCGCGAATAGTAAAGGATATCGATATTATTATTTCGAGTCGTTTGATACGCCGTGGAAGACAGCAATGTTCACTTTGTTGGAAGGTAGTTGGGGTTTGTTTTATCCGGATCGAAGTTTGAAACCAGGTGTTTCTATTCCTGATTGTCAACCCACTGCTCCTAGTCTTAGAACTTTTTAATTTTATTCACTCCTTCTCGGTCTATGTTATATATTATTTTTTGTACTTTTATTAATTTTAGATTTTAATGATGCTATTGTACATGGATACGAAATCTATATGGGAATTAGATTCATGTACAATCAAATATAAATCTGTCTTATGTGTTAATGATGCAAATTTCTCGCGATCCCGAAATTGGAAAGTGATTTACATAATTTAAAGAAATTGATGACTTTATTACCAGTCCAGTATATATAACATTTAACTTCAAGATTAAAGACGAGAAACTATGGTGCAGCCTATTGCAAACACGCTTGTCGAGAGGTAAATGTTCATAAAGCTCATAGTATATTCTATTTAGGCTTTAACTCATACAGACAAAATTATTATTTAGCCAAGCTTTATATCTTGACCCAGGTTAGCCGAAGCTTGAACTTTGATTTATCTTTTATTATAAAAAAACTAGCCTCTCAACTCTAATCTATTAATAAACTATTATTCCGAATAGCAATCAGGGATTGGGTATTAATACCTATCATGATTGTCATGGTTCTAGTGGGGGTGCTTCGAGATCAAGTCACAATACTACTCGGTGCTAACACCTTCAAGAAACCCGGGCTGAAAGCAATACGTGAGACAAAAGCACTGCAACGAGGAACAGTTCTCAGACTCTACGGGAACAATATTCCACCCCCGTCGTTTCATGCTCGAAAGATTTACCTGTCAAGTGCGTTCGAACGTGGGACTTTTCTCAAGAATCCTGCCGCGGCAAATCAACCTGTTAATCCGATGACTGATCCACAGGGTATGGAGATGATGATGGAGGGAATGAAGAAGAATATGGCGATGATTATACCGCAAACTATTATTATGGCATGGGTGAATTTCTTTTTCTCGGGATTTGTGTTGAGTATGTGTATTTCGATCATATTATTATCAATTTCATAATAAATCTTTCTTGTTCTAATTATTTTTATTGTGCTCTCATAGTCAAATTACCGTTTCCATTAACTTTACGCTTCAAATCAATGTTACAACGAGGTGTCGAGACACCAGATATGGATGTGACTTGGGTTTCCTCGCTTTCATGGTATTTCCTAAACCTATTCGGTTTACGAAGTATCTTCACTTTATTGCTAGGCGAAGACAATGCCGCTGATGGCATGCGTGATATGCAATCGATGGCTGCAATGGGTGGTGCAGCACCTGGGCAACCACAAGATTTTCATAAATTGTTCTTGGCGGAACGTGAAAATCTCGAATTAACACCACACGAATGGGAATTGGAGGATGTCGAGTATCGACTTTTGGTAAAGTATGGAAAACGAACCGAGGGTGAGTATCAGCTGTATAAAAAAAGCTTGATTGAGGATGTTGTCGCTGCTTCGGAGAATGCTACGAGTCTGCAAGAGAATAAGTTAAAGACACGAAGAAAGGGTGGTGGGAAACGAGATTAGATTTTTTTGTCGCGTGTTGCTTTTTTAATAACAAGAAGGTTAATAATAACTTGAATGGACTTTTAATTATTGCATAAATAATAAATTATTAGGAATTCTTAGAATAATTTTGCATAAAAATTAGAAAGAAAATGTTTTATGGGTTCAAATTGGTGTGAATGTTTGTGTAATTTTATATAAAATGTATTTTAATAATCCGTGCCTTTTACCTAATATTCATAATATGATACTGTATTTTGATCAAAGAAGAATACAAAATGACATCAAGACAAAAAAGAAGAAATATGCATACATAGATTGTTTATTTTTTATTTAGTGTGAATATTAATATTATTACTGTTACAGGTATATTCAAAGGTGTATTATTTTACTTTTACAAATAAAACAGTCTAGTCGATCGAATTAATCACTGATTTGCTTAGGATAGTGGATTGATGTTCTCTAAAAAGTTTTTAATTCTTCTTTTTCACACAATATTGAGATTATTTACTACTACTGCTGCACAAAAGGATTTGGAATCTCCTCGGTCCCGTCCACTGGTGATATCAGTATCACCGCGGGACCACGACATACAATAAGACCGAGATTACGTGCTTCACTTGTGAGTTTGTTATCTTCTGGGTCTGGTTGTTTTTTTGGTAGTCAGGTGGGAAAGGTTAAGTAGAAAGATTTTTGATTTGTAAAGGAAATAGTTTGGAGAGAAAGGGGAGGTGAGGTTGATTTTTGTTTAAACATGCAAATGTACCTCGTAATTGTTCCTCGGTATCGTCTAACACGAGGTTAAGTAACTGATCGAAGCCTTTTAATGAGCCAGTTACTAGATAACCATTACACGTTAACTCATAATTATTCTGAATTACATCAAGACGACGAAAAAACCAACCAACCTTCTCGTCCGCCATTAAATTTTACACGAATCTTTTTATCTAGATACTTTTGTAAATCCAATATCGATTCCTTTTTAAACTTTTGGTCAGAGCCAAATCCTGTGCCTCCACCCGATCCTCCTCCACGACCACCACCTGAGCTTCCACCCCCTCTACCACCTCCTCGTGAACCATGCCCTCGTGCGCGAACCTTTGTTTGTTAAATCATATTATTAACCGAGGTAAATGTATCGATAATGACAAAAATTTGAAAATCTGTTGTTACTCACTCTTTCAGACATTTTTTGATGCTATATGTTGGTGTTTCGAAATATATTTTATAACTTTTCGAGAGAGATTGCGATATAAAAATGACTTTTAAAGCTAATTTAATAATATAGACTACATGAATTCAAAATTCGTGTCTTTCGCGCAAAGCAGACAGAAAATCAGTTGATCGATCTACAGATCGTCCAAAAATAAAGATCACTTGATGTTGATCAATCGTCCACATGTATGACTTGAAAACGTATGATGGTGTAAATCGCGTTCGCACATAATCTAATTTAAGATGTCATTTATCAAAATATGATCGTGAGAAGAAATTACTAGCATAAATTAATTGCAAAGACATATAAATACGATTGGTGTGCACTTTGCTTTTGGCTTGGGTTTTTACTTCTCTCTCCGCAAATTTCAATTCACACAATTACAACCATCACCAAACCAATTTTTTATAAATAAATAAATATAATACCCGCAAACTATCAACAACAATAAAACAGTAATCTTTTTTAACCTTTACGCTCGAAATAAAAATGTCGCGAAGAAAACAATCGTCTTCTCCTGGTGTTATCAACCGTGACCGTCACTTTCAAAGGTGATTATTTTACCCTTGGTTAATTATTGTAAAAATATAGCAATTACAAATTCTTTCGTTGTAAAACCATTATCTCTCGCTCGCGATTCTATAATTCTCTTATACACATACATTCATATACACATACAAATACAAAACATATAATTAATGTGATAATTGACACATAAAAAATTAACAATATTCTAAACAAAAATCCCCCAACACAAAACAATTCCAGGTCTGGCTTGAACGACCCAAGAGGCAACCCGAAAAAGGTAAATCACACACATTTATCAAATCCAGAAAATTTTAGAAAAATCTCTTGATCCTCGTGATGTCTTTTGATCATCTTTTGATCATCTTTTGATCATCATGATACCTTTGTACCATTGTTTTATTTTATGCTTATTTGTTGTGTGTGAATATTTGCATTCACGTATTGTGTGAGAGTAACCTAACGATAATTGTTATTTTTTAATAGGGAGGAGCAGGTGGTCATAATTGGGGCGTGATAACCGATTCAAGTGACGCACGAGAACATGATAAATTCCCGAATGTCGATAATGAACAAGGAAAAGGATATCAGAAGATACAGGTAACAAATAATTAATGTATGAACGTGTTTAGCGTTAGTATGTACGCTTAAATACATTTTCCTTGCTAGGTTGTAAACCCTGAAAAATTTGAGGTTCTCCAACATGCTGTCGCCGAGGAACAGTAACGTGTCGTGTCTTTGAGTAACCAAAGTAAATGATGTTTGTATGCAATCATTTCGTGTACAAGTTCCGATTTCTCATATTATTAGTATCTACTTCCAATAATATAGATTTTCTTACAAGATAATTACAATAGTGATATTTAAAGATTGTTTAGTTATTGGATAGTTTTTCAATGATGATGATAATATGATCTACTTTTGAAACACGTCATTGCAATTACAAATATATTTTGTTACTGTTTCCCTCTTACTGTAAATAAAATCATTAAAAAAAATAAATAAAGTTTTCAACTGTATTTCTTATTGCGCAATCAAGAACATACATATCCTTCATGTTAATCATGACGTCAATAATAAACTAGAAATACTATTCTTCCGCTTTTTTCCCTTTAGATTCATTCGTACCACTGGAAGTACCACCACCACTGTTATTCTCTTCATTTTGCACATTACCATTTCCTCTATTAATAGTAATAGTAGTGGGAGTGGTAGTGAATGAAGATGACGAAGAACCTCCTCCTATGGTAATCACCGCATTATCGGGAAACTTTATCTCCGCGAAAGATGTTTCGATTTGTCGTAATGCCTTAACCAATTTTCATTCTTAATAATGCACGTATAAAAAGACAGATTATGTATTAGTAATAAAAAACCTACTGGACTAGTGATATAGTCATCACACGCATAACACCATGTCGACAAGTCGCTGAATGAAATTGCTATTTTGTGGTTTGTCTCGTTGTGGTGTTGATTCATGTGACCGTTCACATATCTAATAATAATATTATTAATATCAAGAATGAAGAAAAAGAAACACGGGATCAAAGAGAGAAGAAATCAATGTCATCCATTACCTGCTACAAAATACACCTTGACAATTTAAGCATCGCCAATTCTCTTCTTTATCATGACAAGTCTGACATTCTTGTTTTACTACCAACAATAAAATTGTATAAAATCAAATATGATTGCAAGTTTAAATCACGTTGATTTTTACCATCCACTGCTACTTGACCCCAATCTGAGAACGAAACATCTGTTTCAGTGTGTGGACAATCTTTTCGTGGTTCTACTGCGAAAAAGTTTACTGGTACGCCTTGTTCTGATTATTTTTGTTGTTTGATGTGGATTCGATAAAAAGCATACATATTTACTCTCATTGCTGTAAAGAATTCTTGCGGAAAAAATTAAAAACTCAAAATGAAATCAAACCCATTGTAAGAAAACTTTATTTTCTTAAATGTCAAATGAATGAGATTTTACATTGAAACTGCCTTTTATATATGATACAAAAGACGCAGTATTATTAATTAATCACTATCTAATGATAGATTGTGTATATGTCATTTCCTCTCATTGTTGGCGCAAATAAAGTAATATTTTGGCTATTTCTTTGATCAGTAAAATAATCGCATGTTTGGTTTAACAATAACAATGCCGAATTCGATATACAAGATAGAAAAAAAGTACTTTGGAGTTTTTAAAGGTCATAATAGATCAAGCAATCTGTATGATCATTAGATATTTCCGAAAAAATTCCTGACCCTTGTTATAAGAAAAAAACTCGAGAAAAGAAAATTCCCATATAAGAGAGCTTTGTTCCTGACTCAAATCAGTATCGGTATTAGAAGAAATCCTCGTTATAAGAAAGAATTAAAACTGTCCTGATCACTTATAACGGGATGTTTGATGCATTTTACATTTTAAGCCACATTTGAGTGTGGTGCATTTTGTCATTCTGAAAGGTTATAGGATTTATATAAATAATGATTCACTAGTCTACAAAAACTATTTACGTAATGGGACTTTAACGTTAAATTCCAGACACTGTTTGATTATTTTACATATCGATATATGCATGTTGGTAATAAAGATTCATCGCCGTTACTTTTTCGAAGCATGGTCACGTTTTTAAGCCTAAAGCTAATATACTAGCTTCAACTATTAACTCTAGTAAAGTAATATAATATTCTCTCGTTATAAATTATAGTGAAGGTTTTTCCCTCTTCACTATAACGAGAGTGCGACACGTATCAAAAAGTAACCTAAATTAGGGGTGCATTCAAGTGCATCAAAAAGTAACCTCTGGCGTAACTTTTGCTTAATTTTTTTGCTCAGAGTTATGCTGATCAAGTACACCCCTTTTTTTCCACTTTTCGCACATGGGTCTTCAGCAAAACGCCAACGGATCATTGAAGCTTTGATCTCAATACTCCTTATAACTTATTTTTTTGCGTTATTTCTAAATTAGAAAATTTTAGGTAAATGGCCCAACTGATAATGCAGACCATCTGTAAAAAAATATGTCGGATGGATAGTCGGGGACCCCAGTCCAAATAGAGGAATTTCTTTTTTCGGCAATCAATCCTCTGGCCAATAATGGAAATTATATAATGAGCAAAGTGTTAAAGTTCGTTCAATAAAAGTTTGCACAATCTATGACACGACGTGACACAGATTTAATAGACAAACACATATATAATGAATGATAATCCAAAATGTCTCGTTTTCAAAATATCTTCAATTTACCAAAATGCTTTCCTATCGCTTGCCCGAGCTATCTTCAGGTTCCTTGGATCTTTCTGTAACCAACGATCCTCATGATACTATTATAGAAATCTACGATAAAACATCCGGCGATATCAAGATTTTCGATGCGCATTCAAGCGTGCTCTGCAGAAGATGCGAATATTTTGAGGTTGCTTTATCAGGAAAATGGGCAAGAAAAGTTGATGATAAGTATAAGCTAAGCTTGGATGTTTCATCTGATGCCTTTGAAATAATATTAAAGTAAGGATCATTCGTGAATTAATTCTCGTTTTTTTAACTTTCCGCATTAATAATAATTATTATGGTTTTGAAATTCGCAGGGGTATCTGTAGCGGAACGATCATTTTGGAAAATCTGAATACGAATATTTTAATGGAATTAATGCTGGTATCTGATATTCTTCTCCTCCACGAGTTTTTCAACCTTTTAAGATCCAAATTAGATGAAAAAAGGGATAAAAACAAGGAATGGTGTGATGAAGATATTATTTCGATATTAAGAACCTCTTATCAAATTCCATCCGCTCAAGACCTCTATTTAGTTTGCCAAGATATCTTTGTAGAGAGGCCATTGATTTTATTTGAATCCCCAGAATTTACATCGATTGATGAGGAATTATTGTTGCGCATCTTAAAGCTGGACATGATTTGCTTGCCAGAAATAATGATTTTTAATAAATTGATTGAGTGGGGCATTGCAAACACCCCCGATTTCGATACTTCAACCGATAATACATCTCAGATCAATGCATTGGGAGTTACTTTAGAGAATGGGTTGCAACTGATTCGATACAAAAACCTGAGTAAAGAAAAGATGTCAATTCTCAAGTTTGAACAAATATTACCAACAGCAGAAGTTCGATCTCAACTTCCACCTCGCATTTATTTACCTGTTGAACCAAAGATTATCAGTAACAGCTTTGCTGGAACAATTTCGACGTGGATTGACAGAAAGGATCCTATGGAAGCTCCATACACCAGATTTAATACTCCATTCCAATTTAGGCTCGTGTTTCGCATGGGAGATCAGACAACCTTCTATCAAGAACACCATAAATACTACAACAAATCTTCAAATAGATTCTTACCAACAATGAAATGTCACCACGGACCTTCACTAATGATTATGAAACTTAAAGGATCTGGAAAAATAATTGGTGCTTACAATCCTATCGATTGGAAGCAAGATTTATCAAAGAAAGTATATGTTTGTACATCAGAAAGTTTTATTTTTTCAAGTGAAAATAGGTATGGAATAAAGCATCGATTAAGCAGAGTTCGTGATTTCAATCACGCAATGTGTATAGAGGGCGTAAATCCCAGTGGTGTGCTATTAAAATTTGGCGACGATTTAATATTTAATAAGATGAGTAGTTATGTCAGTTGCCATGTTAAGAACGGATTTTATGAGCCAACTATATTGGATGAAGGCAGGTATGAGGTTGAAAAATGGGAAATTTTTAGAGTCAGGAGAAAAGATGGTCAACCAGCAATGGTAACAAACGAAGAAGTTAAAATTCCACCTCGCATTGATCCACCCGTTGAGACAAAGATTATTGATAGCGACTTTATTGGATTGATTGCGACATGGATTGATAAAAAGGATCCTGTGAAAGCTCGGTACACTTGGTCTAATATGCCATTCCAATTTACGCCTTTATTTCGTATGCGCGATAATACTTTCTATCAGGAACATAGTAAATATTATAACCAATCAGCGGATAACTTATTACTACCAACAATGAAATGCCACCACGGACCTTCGCTGATGATAATGAAACTTAAAACATCAGGAAAGATAATTGGAGCTTATAATCCCATCAATTGGAAACAAAGGTCAAACTTTAGTGAATATAAAACTACATCAGAAAGCTTTATTTTTTCAAGTGAAGATATAAATGGAACAAATCATCGGTTAAGCCGTGTTAAAAATTTTTATCGAGCAATTTGTTCCGAGGAAATACTTCCTCGCTCAGATATTAATGGTGTGCTGTTAAGATTTGGCACAGGTTTAAGCTTTGTTTATGACGAACGTGACGAATATTTTGATCCTTTAGTCATTTGTAGGGTTAGGCAAAATGAATCCTATGAGCAACCAGATATAATAGCTAAAGGTGATTACGAACTTGATGAATGGGAAATTTTTAGAGTCGCTAGAAAAGATAGTCAAATTCCACCCCAAATTGGTTCATTTTTTGAATCAGAAATGATTGATGACGATTTTGTAGCATTGATTGCGACATGGATTGATGGCAAAGATTCCACGGAAGATCCATATACCGAATTTGACATGCCATTTCAATTTACACTTTTGTTTCGCATGAATGATCGGTCAGTTTCTCATGATAAATACTATAATCAGTCAACATACAATTTATTACCAACAATGAAATGTCACCACGGACCTTCACTAATGATAATGAGGATCAAAGGTTCTGGAAAAATAATTGGTACCTATAATCCTATCAATTGGAAGCGAGATTTACCAAATTGTAAGAATAAATATATTCACACGTCAGAAAGTTTTATTTTCTCGAGTGAAGACGAACATGGAACAGATCCTCAATTAAGCCGAGTTAAAGATTTTGATAAAGCGATTTCTCAGGCAAACGTATATCCCAATGGCATTCTGTTGAATTTTGGTGAAGATTTGAGCTTCATTTATATTCATGGAAATATACACACGGATGAGCCCGATTATGGACTAGAAGACGACATTATATTTCCTTTTGTCATTTGTAAAATTAGAGAAAATGGATTTTATGAGCAACCAGCTATATTACCTGAAGGCAGATATGAGATTGATGCATGGGAAATATTCAGGGTCATTAGAACAAATAACTAATAATGGAGAATATTAGGCATGCATTTGGCAGTTTTATTTAGAACGCGAACCACTCACTCATGAAACGCGGCAAAATTTTGAAAATAAGGATACCCTGTATTACCACTGTATTATCATTCAAACAGCGAATTTACTATCAGAATTACTTTTATTTTCACTTTCTGTATCAGTTTTATTTTGTAAAGTAAAATTCATTGTAATATTTTGAGCTATTAAAATATATATTATCAACTGTTTTTTGCTTTTTTAATTTGAACGAGATTATTTGTTATTTTCGTTTCTTTAAATTAAATGAAGTGTATTTTATATATTTCTTACATTATCTATTAACCAATCAAAAATTAGTATTTTATCATGTGATAAGTCGCAAAATTCAGAAACTCGATAAATAACTTTTAGTTAATAGATTGGAAGCAATTTGAATTTTATCAGTTTAAGTAACCGTGTTTAAGTGACTCGAGCTGTAGTTTTTTTCAGCACAAGAGATAATATAAAAAGGTAGTTTCATAAAAATAAACGTTTGTCTCGCATGTACACACACTCGCATATATGCATGGTTAAAAAATAAAAAGCCCAATACGGCGAAACTTTATTATTTTCATTGATATTAAGAGGCCGGCTAAGTAATAAATGAATATACTAAAAAATGAGAGTAGTGGACGTTTAAAGGGAGGAAAAAAATCATGCCGGCCCTAGACCCGCCTTGAAAAGGCAATGGCAGTTCCTTCCCACTATTTTCTTTACTATGCACTTGCACCCTAATGTAATACTTTTTGAATATCATAAAATCTTTTTATTGTTACTGCCCTAATTCTACTTGGTGGAACGTAAAAATACCGGCGTTGATTAAGTGAACACTGATTTCTCCGCGAAAATCACCGATACGGCGAGGAGCAAGAAGGAATAAGTCCGATGAATTTCTTGGAAGCGTCTATGAAACGGAAAAAATCCGATTAGTATATATGCTCTAAAACTTTCGTTAATTGGTTTTTTCTTGTGCAAAATTATGGCAAAAGTGAGATTAAGTAACCATTGGCTAAACTCACCTTTATATGTTTTGCGGGAAATAGCCTCAGCCCAAGAATCGAATTCCAATTTCGATCTATTAATAGGTATCTTCAATAAATTCGTATAAAGGTGTCGTAAAATTGGTAATGATTTCATGAATGCTAGTAAATTGGTGGGTATTACGTTAGAATTTCGTCAGTCAAAGACGCGTAATAATCTTTCGAAACAGATGTTAATTTTACAATTGGTTCCGCCGCTAGTTATTTTAAGTATGTGCAATTGTTAATTGCATAAATCGTTAACAAATCATTGTCTTTAGGCACATAAGTTTTGGGATTGAGAAACAATGTAATATTAAATGCTCAAATAAGTTTGTAGCGTTACATTTTCGAGAACTTTGTATCGAGTCGTAATAGAATTATTAATGAAGCGGAAATAATTTTTACATGATCTAAAAATTTATAATTAAAAAATCGCTTTTAAATTTTATCATACATAGCTTGAGGAATACCAAAATTACAAGATCAAAAATAACAGAAATTCAAAATATCAAAAATCAAAATTCTTAATCAAAATCAATAAATTCAATAACAACATTTTGTTTGGCACAATATGATTTAAAGCCACTTGTATGCAAGCTTTAATATATATAATTGAAAGTGGAAGAAATAAATATTATTTGAAAGAAGATTTTTGTTAAAGAGAATTTTATTTTTGTTTGTTATGAAATGTCAAGTTAAGATTCAGACAGTATTTTTATTTATATATTTTTTCAAAAATATAAATTTCAAATATAATAACTAGCTAAAATTAAAACAATTATTTGAAAGTAAAAAATTATAAAATATATAAAAATAAAAAGATAAAACAAAAAGGTAAAAGTAAAATAAAAACTTGTTCCTAATATCCTAGAGAATATATTTACAAATTTTCACAATTTTTGAATAATTCCTTATTAAAATATAAACAAAAAATATATTTGTTATTACTTTTATTAGGGACTGTACTATATTTTTTAAAACTAAAATTTTATAACTTTTTCAAAACTAAAATAAATAAGTAAAAAATTCTCTTATTAAGTTATAGCTTTAATAAAGAACTATTAATTTGTAAAAGAATTTTTTTATTTCAATTTTTAGTTCAAAAATTATAAGATTTTGCATGAATATGCATTAAATTTTCAATTTATATATATAATAAACAATATTTAAATTATTATAATATTATCAAAAATAAAAATAAAAAATTTTCTCTTTCAAAATATAATTTTACTAAAAAACTATTAATTTAAAAAGTATTTTTTTATTTATTAATTTATTCAAAAATTATAATACTTTTTTATAAGATAATTAAATTTAAATATTTTATATTATATATGTGATTAAAATTTTTTTATTAATATTTTAAATCTTGAAATTTCTAATACTTTTTAACAAAATTATTTTGATTATTAATTATTTTTGTAAAACTAAATTTTCAATTAGTAAATTTTTAAAACAAATTTTAATTTGAATCACTAATAAAAAATATTCTGTTATTATTTTATAAAATTAGTTCAAATTTATCAAGATTTAAAATTTCAAAGATCCAATCTTTGCTAAAAGCATTACTTTAATTATTTTATATATTATTGAAAATTTCAAAAATAAATTTATTACTTTGAAATCTGATATTCTATTTAAACAAAAATATTACTATTAAATTTATATAATTAAAAAAATCTAATAATAATATTTTTATTTAAATAGAATTATTAAATATTGAAATATTAAATTCCAAAGTGACAAATTTATTTTAAATTTTTAATAATATATTATAAGAATATATATTTATTAGATCTTTAAAATTTTAAAGCTTAATAAATTTTGAGTAAATTTTTATAATTTTTAATTAGTAATTTAAATTTGAAATTTATTAAAGCAAAATAATTTATTAAAATTAAATAACTAATAGTATTAATTTATTAATAATAATGAATTTTAATATTTTTTGAATAATTTATACTAAAAATATTAATTATAAAGTTGATAAATAATTTATAATATTTATATATATCCCTACATTATATTATTAGAAATTAAAAAAAAATATAGTAAAATATAGTAAAATTGATATTATTGCTTTATATTAAAATTTGTTATTTTATTAATAAATATTTTTTTATTTTTTGAATAATTTATACTAAAAATATTAATTATAAAGTTGATAAATAATTTATAATATTTATATATATCCCTA